AACAGGGACGACGACGATGTTCTCATGTCGGTCCTCGGAGCTAAGGGCATAGCTTGGCGTTCGTCCCAAATCCGCACCGCAGCCAAGATGATGTTGCTGGAGCGCGACGCGACGGACAAGGTGCGGAGGTCGCTGCTGCGACAGGCGCCGACGGTCGTCGGCGATCTGTGCCCAGGATCGCGGGTGTATTTCTGGGCACCGAATCCGTTCAAGGGACGTCGTCGGCAAGATCCTGAAAGGTGGCGGGGTCCTGCGACTGTGATCGCGAAAGAATCCAACAGCCGGTATTACTTATCATGGCGTTGTCACGTGCTACTCGTTGCTCGTGAGCAGCTCCGGCACGCCTCCTCTCAGGAGGCCGCGGCCGCGGAGTCCATCCAGACGGACGTGCGGCTGACGCAGCAGCGAGATGATCGTGCCTTCCACAACATCGTGGACGTCACGCCCAAGGTGAAGGTCCAGAGGGTGAAGAAGACGTTCCTGAAGAAGGAACGCGAACGACATAGTGAGCTCGAGGGGTCCAGGCAGCCCCGCGTGGACCTGAAGGCCCTGGACGCCACCGAGGCGCAGGCTAAGGAGGAGGAGCCGCCTGAGCAGGAGCAGTTGCCGCAGCTTCCACCTGAGGACGACGCGGTCTCGTTCCCCTCCAGGGCGGATTTCCTCTGGGGCGCTCCCGGAAGCCTCGCCGGGAGCATCGGGCTCCGGTGGCCCTCCGGAGCCGCCGATTCCCAGAGACGATTTCGAGCTTGAGCGGAAGCGGAAGTTTCTGGTAGATGACGTGCCGAGCTGCATTAAAAGATCGCGTTTGCAGGCTGCCCCCGCGAGTGGCTTGCCGGCCTTCCGCGAGGTTGCCATGAACGCTGTGGTGCACTCGGGGCCCCAGGAGTGGTTCGACCAGAACGCCTTGGATGGCATCTCCACGCTCGTTCAGAAGGTCGTGCGAGGAGTACGTGTGCATCGAGAGCCACGGCGGCGACTCTATGATCGCGACCGTCACCGGGAGTGCAATCGCCTGTCGGTGTGGATTGGACATTCGAGTGCTTCGGCGTAGCGACTGCGTTCCTGTCCGGGCTGAAGCTGGAGCGGGAGCTGTGCGTGAGGGCTCCTAAGGACGGGCCCCCGGCCGTCGACGGCGCCGGATGGCCAGCTGTGCGGCCTTATGCGTTGCTTCGTTTGCTGAAAGGGGCGTGCGGTTTGACGGAGGCGCCTCGGTTGTGGTATCTCCGAGCCCGCCAGGTGCTGACGGACGAGGTCGGCTTTGTGGAGCTGCGCTGTGCTCGGGCCGTCTTCGTTTACCGGGTGACCGACAAGTTGATTGCTATGTTGACGTTGCATGTCGACGACGGCATGCTGTTTGGGAACCCGCGTGACCCCCAGTACCAGAAGGTGAAGGCGAATATCAACAAGCGCTTCAACATCAAGCACTGGAAGGAGGGCAATGACAAGGAGGCCGTCGCCTATCTCGGGGAGGAGTGGTGGCGTCACCCCGACCACGTTGAGATCAGCGTGCACGAGTAGATCGGCAAGCTGACAAAGCACCCCCGTGCAAGGGGGCAGGACGAGGAACGAGAGATGCCTCCAGAGGGGCACCACGACTTCCGGAGCTTGCTCCAGAAGGTGCGCTGGCCTGTCGCACGCGTGGTGCCGCAGCTCGCTTACAGTGCGTCGGCGCTCGTGCAGAGGGATCCGAAAGGTCGGCGGTTATTGCACCTGCGAGTGCTCAATGACATCATCGACCGACTTCAGGACTACGACAAGAGAGGTCTGGCGACTCTCCGGATCCGCCGTGTGGACATCGAGCACTTGCAGGTGCTCACGCTCATGGACGCATCGTTCGCAAAGGAGCCCGGCTGTAAGAGCCAGATGGGGTTCATGAGTATGATTACGGACATGCGCGTGCTGAAGGAGCTAGCGGTGTGTTGCCTCGTGGAGTTCCAGAGCAGTACTATTACACGAGTTGTTGGATCCACGATGGCCGCAGAGTCCGCAGCCATGTCTGTTGCTTTGGATCGGCAGCTCTACCTCAGGCTGCTTATCGAGGCCGTCTTGTACGGGGAGCCGCCCTTGCAAGGGGACTGGAGGCTGGTGCTGAAGGTCCCGGGGGCGCTTGTGACGGATGCGAAGTCGCTCTACGATCACACACGTGCAAGATTGGTTCAATGCCGGTGTCTCGGCAGACCCTCATCGACCTGTTGGTGGCCAAGGACTTGATCGAGCAGGAGGCCATCAAGTTCAATTGGCTGCCCAACAGCCATATGCTGGCGGACGTGCTGACGAAGGCTGTGCAGCCTAACGAGGTGCTATTGCAGTTTCTCCGTCACGGGGTGTTCAGCATGGTGCCGACTGCTGAACAGGAGGATGAGGAGGCACACCGTCTGCGGCTGCGCCGCGGACAGCGTGAGAGAGCCAAGGAGCGGAAGGTCCAGCGTCGGGCCGCCGTTTCAGGGCCTGCGAGCCCTTGAGGTCCTTGCAGCCGCTGCATGGACGTGGTGATGGCTACGGTGAGGTGCGCGCGTATATCGAGATGACAGTCTGGAACAGTGAGTCTGGACATTCATATTTTATATTTTGAACCTCAGGCCGCACTTGTGCTTGAGGTGCTCCGGCCTGTCGGCCGGAAGAGGCGATACCGTGTGCCGCGGTTCATGATTGTAAGAAGCGGCATCGGGGCAGCATTGTTCTCACCCAGTGTGAAGAGGGCACCTTCCCTGCCCCTCTGCCGCCCCGTGCCGCCATTGTAAGCATGATGCATGGATGGTACATTCTGTGCATACGTTTCATGTTTGCGGCGTGCGCCCTGCCCGCCGCCGTTTGGCCCTAGTCCTTGGGCCCTGGGACTGCACTCAGCAGACAGGTCGCCGCGCGGCCCGCGTGAAAACATTCACATTTACAGATAATGATGATGCTGATGATGATGCTGATGATGATGATTATGATGATGATGATGACAATGATGATGATGATGGTGCTGCTGCTGCTGATGATGATGATGCTGATGATGATGCTGATGCTGATGATGCTGATGATGATTCTTAGGATGATGATGACGATGATGATGATGGTGACGATGATGATGATGATGATGCTGCTGATGATGATGATGATGCTGATGATGATGTATATCATTAGTATTACCGCTAGACTTTTCATTTTTAGTATTATTGGTATTGTTAATATTCGTATGTGTATTATTTTTTTTATAATTACTGCTCCTATTAAATGAGTACTGCTAAACTGCTACAACCTAATACGAACGCTATTAAGATTATTACGAAAAAGAAGAGAAGGAGGAAGGGGATCAGCAGGAGGAGGAGGAGGAGGAGGAGGAGGGAGGAGGAGGAGGAGGAGGAGGAGGAGGAGGAGGAGGAGGAGGAGGAGGAGGAGGAGGAGGAGGAGGAGGAGGAGGAGGAGGAGGAGGAGGAGGAGGAGGAGGAGGAGGAGGAGGAGGAGGAGAGGAGGAGGAAGAGGAGGAGAAAGAGGAGAAGGAGGAGGAGGAGGAGGGGGAGGAGGAGGAGGAGGAGGAAGGAGGAGGAGGAGGAGGAGGAGGAGGAGGAGGAGGAGGAGGAGGATGATGAGATTGATGATGATGATGCTGATGCTGCTGATGATGATGATGAATGATGATGATGATGATGTGATGATGATGATGATGATGATGATGATGATGATGATGATGATGATGATGATGCTGATGATGATGATGATGATGATGATGATGGATGGAGGAGGGGAGGAGGGGGAGGAGGAGGAGGAGGGAGGAGGGGGAGGAGGAGGGGGAGGAGGAGGAGGAGGGGAGGAAATGGAGGAGCAGGCGGAGGCGGCGGAGGAGGCGGAGGAGGAGGAGGAGGAGGAGGAGGAGGAGGAGGAGGAGGAGGAGGAGGAGGAGGAGGAGGAGTCGGAGGAGGCGCAGGCGCAGGCGCAGGCGGAGGCGGAGAGGAGGAGGAGGAGGAGAGGAGGAGGAGGAGGAGGAGGAGGAGGAGGAGGAGCGACTACGGCCCGCCATGTTGAGCTGCGGCCCATTGGGGGCCGCAGCGCATGCCACGCAAAAATCCGAGCTGGAATTCGTGGCAGCTGCTGGGGCCCGTGGGGCCGCGGGGGGGTGGGGTCGTTTGTTCTCCAGGAGACCTGATCTCCCTGGCGCCCGTGTCGCGGGACGTGCTGGCCGCGGCCGAGAAGGCGGTGGGGCGGATCTTGGTCACGCTGCTCTCGGACAGCTGCCCAGACCCGTCGTGCCCGCCGTGGGAGTGGGAGGCTCGGCCGCGCGCCAGGAGAGGCCCCCGCGTCGGAGCGACCTCTGGTGCGCGGCCCTCGGGGGCCCATCGGAGGGCGCGTAATGCAGGGGCGATCATCTGGGGCTCCCAGATGGGGTCGGAGTAGACGGGGTCGGAGGATCGCACCGCATTGCCGATGCATCGCCGATGCGGCTCGATGTGGAACCCGATTTGCTTCAAGTCGACGTCGCTGGTGCACGGCCCACGTCGACGATACATCGTCGATGCATCGTGGATGCATCGCCGATGTATCGGCGATGCGGCGCAATCCTCCAACCCCATCTACTCGGACCCCGTCCAGGAGGCCTCTGGAGAAGTGGGGGTCAGCGAGGGCTCCTGAGAAGTCAGCAGCCTTCTGAGAAGGCCTTCTCCTTCTCAGTTCCCCCCTCGCTCGCCGCCGAAAGTGGGGGGGCCGCGAGGGCTGCAGGAAAGGGGCCCTCTAGGGCCCCGTGTGCAGTTGGTGATTTGATGTTGACACAGCAAGCTTGCGCATCCACGCCCGTTCTTGCTCGAAGGGAGTTGCCTCCCTCAGCCGTGCCGGCACACGGAGTTTTCAGGAGCCGCTCGTGGCGGCCGATGTGGAGAGAGTTCATGGAAGGAGCGGGTTAGAGTTTCAGACATCGTGAGAGCAGACGACCAGAAGATCAGCCCAATACGTACACCTCTGCCGAGGACTACCGCGAGTACAATTTACATGGGAGTGGAGCCGCATGGCTCCACGCGGCCGAGGTGAGCTCACGATGGCTGAAGTGGAGAAGATGAGGGGTCGCGTTCCATCCTGGAACGGCGATCCCAAGACATGGCGTGCCTACAGACGACGAGCTCTGAACTACCTCGAGACCACCAACTGGCAGGACCGATACCTGTGCGGCCCATGTCTTGAAGCTCAGCTCACCGGGCGAGCAACCGAGACGTTCGTGATCAAGACGAGGCGTCGCAAGGGCGAGGCCGTGCTGCAGTGGACCGACAGCTTTGAGGTGGGCTACAAGTACCTACGCCAGGCCCTGGCACGGGCCCTTGAGAAGACGAAGGCGGGGAGGTCGGCCACAACATGCCGCCAGCGCTGGCAGTGGATCGAACCTGAAGATGAAGACGGGGACTGGTCGTGGGCATGGGAGGATGAGAACTATCCAGAGGAGCCCTTGGACACCAGTCATGAGACGGCAGGACGCGATGACCCGGGATCGGACGACGAGTATGAAGACCTGCCGGAGGTGTTCCCAGGCTTGGTGCGTGGATGGCTAGTCTTCGCGCGTGCGGGTTTAGACTCCAGGGAGAGGGCTGCGATCACGGCGTCGACGGGCGGTTTTCTCGAGTTTGAGGCCGTGCGGATACGCCTGATCACCAACAGGGAAGATGATGATATCCGCGACCAGGACATGAACGCCAAGAAGGCATTCGTGGCGCAGAACATTGGCGACGATGGGAAGACCTGGTGCGACGACTCGACGGACTACATGTCGCTGATGGGCCACGCCGAGCAGGAGGATGAGTACGAGTACCTGGTCCTCGTTGAGTAGAAGTATGAGGCGTACCTGGTTGCCCAGCAGTAGGAGGCCGAGGCGCTCTCGGCTATGATGAACGCGCAGCGGGCCCTGAGGCAGATTCGAGACGCGCAAGCTGATGTACGTGCGAGTCGTGGATTCAGTGGGAAAAGGAGGCTCTAGTACGACCTCATCGTGGGGATCAACATCCCCGTCCCCGCCAGGCTCGAGGCGACCCATGCCGAGGCAATTCGGAGCACGGGGGAAGATCCAGCCTCCGCGGGATCAAGCAGCTCGTGAGTGCGTAAGGTGTGGCTTGAATGATCGCAGTCGCAGGACGTTCCAGTGCCGAGAAGGATGGGGCGGTCCTCGGAGGCCTGGTTGCGGCGCTAGTGGCTGACCACGACATGGACGAGACGAAGATCATTGCAGAGAAGGTAGAGAGCGCCGCCTTCGCCCAGACCGATGGAGGGCGGCATGGGCGTCGTCGACCTTGGCTGCGCTGACTCTGGCGTGAAGGCGTTGGGCGCCGTCGCCCAGATCAACCTGAGGCGGCATGGCGACGACGCCGGACTCATGTGCTCGGACCTGGGCCACAAGCCCGTCAACTCCTTTGGCGACGGTGGGCGGGGGCGCGCGCGCGGCAGGGCGTGCTTCCAGGTGTTGGCAGGAGACCGCGTGGGTGACGTCAGCATCCACGTCTTCGACAGGGATGTCCCGATTTTGATCAGCAAGTGGGTGGCGGCTCGCCTGGGGCCCGCTCTGGATTGCACTAGCGGTGCTGCTTTCTTCGCGAAGATCTCCGTGGAACCAGTCCAGTTGGAGGGGTGCGACAACCGCTACTACCTGTTGCTGGTCGACGACCTGCTCTCGAGGAAGGTTGAGGACCGCGGGGGGGTCGAGAGCGTCTCCAAGATCGCCGCTGCTCTGACCGGCATTGTGGGCGCGCGGGGCCCTGTGGCGGCGACGCGTGCGCAGTGGGGTCTCCGGGTATCAAGTTGCGCTCGCAGTCATGCGCCGCCTTCGCCCCGTTAATCGCTGGCGGGAGTGGGGCCCCAGATCCTCCGGCGGTGTCTTCGGGGGCGATGCCGGAGAAGATGGGAAGGCGTGGCCCTGGTGCTTCCGTAGCCGTCGTGGCTCAAGACCAGGGGTCAGGGGAACCGCGACCCAGCGGCATGGGGGCCGCTGATGACCTCGTGCACCCGCGGCGGGGCCGAGCAGCCGGCGCGTTCATCTCCGCCGCAGTCGCGCGGGCGGTTCTCGGGGATGTAGCGAGGCGTGGTGGAGTGGCCGCGCGACCGATCAGCTGTGAGCGTGGCGCACCTGCTCGTGGAGCTGGGGCCAGTCGCCATCCCGGCGCGGACGTCCGCGGACCTCGATGGGGGCCCTGAAAAGCGAGATGTTGCCGAAAGGGCGACGCCGACGACCGCGAGCAGCTGAAGGAGATCACGAGTATGAAGAAGGCAGATCCAGTGAACCTCGCGACCCAGATCGGCGCCCGCGCGACGCTGGGGATGACTCGCGGGGGCCTGCGCGTCAGCATCCGCAAGACAGTGGTGGACAGGTCCTCGCCGCGGGCGAACGACTGCCCGGAGTTCGGCAAGCGCGGGGCCAAGACGTGCAGGAGGGGGGGTCACAGCGCCGGGGCTGCGCGAGGTGGCGTGTCTCGGAAGCCTCGAGACGGGGGTCAATGCAAACGGAGGTCAGCCAGGGCGCCAGATCCTGCAGGATCCTGCGAAGACCCCCTCTGGCCGACCCGGGTTAGGGAGCCGTTCGTGGCCGCGAGGCGGCCGCGCCTATTGGCTGACCCGGGTTTGCGAGGATCTGCGTTGCAGTTTTTTTTTCCTGCATTGCAGTTTTTGGTTTCCTGCTGACCCGGGTCTGGATTGACCCGGGTCAGAAGGTCCCCGAGTGTCCAGCAGGCGGGAAGCGTGGGCAGCTCAGGGGGGCTCAAGCACTTTGCCCCACGGCTCAACGCAACTGCGGCGACCGAGAGCTGCGACCGCCGGGTGGACCTGGAGCCCCAGGCCTCGCCGGCGCAGCCGCGGGCGCCCCGCGCGGCCATGACAGGGGGGGCCGCGAAGGTCGCGAGGGGGAGGGGCGCGGACGTGATGATGCAGGATCCCGAGGAGGACAAGATCAGCAAAATGCAGTACACGATGCAAAAGACTGGGGGTGCCGTCAGCCAGGTATCCGAGATGGTGAGGGGTCTCAAGCGGCATGGCCGGCCAGTGTGTGCGCGTCGGACAAGGGCTGACAGGGCATCCCAGTGCCCGGGGGGGGCGCGTCGAGTGGTCAGGGCGCGAGCAGCCGTCGAGGCTCCGGGCCCTGAGCCCCTCCCGACAGCGTCTCATCGCGAGCGGCATCCGGGGGCGGGGTTGCGAGGGGGAGTTCGGCAATGATGGCCCGGGGCGACGGCGCGTGCCTGATGGGGGCGTGGTTGCGGCTCCGTGTCGCCCCCGAGTACCGAGATGGAGGAGCAGCGTGGCCGGGGTTCAGCTGTGCGCGTGGGTGCTTGGAATTGCCGCGAGCTCGGGGCAGTCGAGGGCGACCTGATGGCGCGCGACACGAAAGACCAGCACCAGCCAAGGCGACGGTGGATATCGCCCAGATGTGGGCCCCTCAGCCTTATCGCCCTGGGTATGAGCGGCGCCTCGAGCAAACCCTCCCTGGTGGAGAAGACCCGTGAGCGGCGCGTGCAGGCCGTCCGCGAGTGTGAGGGCGCCGTGCAGGTGGCGTGCGGTGGACATGCCAATTGGGAGTGGCCCTGCAGCTGCGACGGGTGGGCGCGCCGCGCGACCAGGAGGATGGTCGAGGGCCCGAGGGTGGTCGCGGCGAAGAACGCGGGATGCATTCTGGGGGCGAGGGCGCCAGACGGGAGTATCGCGAAGGAGGAGTGGCTGAAGGCCGCGACGTCGGCCCGAGTGGCGGCGCGCCTCGAGGTCGAGTGCCCGGATGGCCACGAGCGCAAGCACCTCCGAGGTGGCAGTGCGACGGCAACCAGTGCATTCTACCTGGCAGAGATGGCGCGTCGAGCCGCGGGGGCGATGCTGGAGGGCGACAGCGCCGAGATCCACAGATAGCTGCTCGCCTCAGTGCGCCGAGGGTGCGGCCATGCTTCGCGCGCCGCGCTGGAGTCATTCCTGCGGCGCCAGGGGGCGCTCGCAAGGATGATCGTGGCATGCGAGACGTTCGCTTGTGATGCCTGCGTCGAGTCGTTCAAGCGGCAACCTTCAGCCCCGCCAGTGCCCTCGGGGAGTCCCCTGGCGAAGTGGGGGCGCATTCGGGCGGGCCAGGTCGAGTGGCGGCATCCGTGCCTCAAGGAGATGATGGAGGCCAGCATGATCATTGATGAGGGCTGCCGCGCGCGGGTGGCCAAGTGGCTGCGCCGAATGGAGGGCGCCGCTGCCCATCGGAATCCACGGTGGGGCGAGTTGAAGGGGTCCTACGAGAGGGAAGGTGGCTCCTCTACCATGGGGGGCCCCGGCGGTTCAAATGCGACCAGGAGGGGGCATGTGTGGGCAAGGCAGCAGCGTTGTACTTCGACGAGGACTCGATCTATCTACCAGGAGTTGATCCCAGGACAGGCGCGCCGGCGCATCTCCATCGTCGAAGGTGCGATCAGAGCGACGAAAGCGACCATGGGCGCGCTGGTGTTCGAGAACCGCTCGATGTCCCGCGAGGAGGCTTTAGCTCGCGCGGTGGCAGCAGGCAGCTCGCGTGAATGCGTTCGTGGCCACTCACCGCTCCAGCATGCACTGGGCCGCGCCCTGGACATGGGCGGCCATTGCCTCCGAGCTCAACTTCGACGCGTTGCCTTGCGTTGACGCGCGGCGCGTGGACAAGCAGCTCGGCAGGAGGTGCAACCATATGTTCCATGCCAAGCAGGAGCACCTCGAGCAGGTGTACCAGCGGAGGATCAGCCGGGCCGTGAATGCGAATATACAGATGCCCAACAATGCGGCCTCTGGCATGTTCGTGAGATACTACCAGAAAGAGAAGGGCGAGGTCCGCGGCGCTTGCGAGGGGCTGGCGAGGGCCCTAGCCGCTGAGACGCTGCGGACAGCGGGTCGCCATGGCAGCCGGCCGGGCCCGCGCGCCGCGATGCGCCTTGGTCGACCATCATCGGTTGCGTGGCTCATCTGGGAGGGCCGACTCATGATGGCCGACCTTCCCCAGCTACCGTCCGTTAGTGCCCGCGAGGTCGCCTGCGCTGAGATGATGGAGGGCTCTGGCGTGAACGCGCCCTGAACGATCTCCCAGGCCATGGGGGGCGCCCTGCCTGGCCCTTCGCGTGGACATCGCAGGCGTCGACCCGAGCCGGCAGGAAGAAGGCGCGATGAGATCTCCTGCCAATTGGGCCCGATTCGCAGGGGAGGCGCCAGGGAGGCGCATCCGCGGGAGGACGGGGCCTGCCGCGGGCGGCGGGCTGGCGTGCGCTCGCGCTGCGGACGAGGAGATGGCCGATGGATTCTAGGCGCAGGTTGCGGATGGGCGCGAGAAGATCGCGGGGGAGGCAGCGCCGCGCGCGTCCTGCTTCCGGATCGAGGGGGGGGGGGGGCGTGATCGAGGTATCCGTGGAGCTACCTCAGCAGATCAAAGAGGCTCGAGGCGGCGACGCAGGACATCAACTCCTTCATGGCCAACCAGATCAAGAAGGGGCGATCCGAGGTGTCAGAGCGGACCGTGACCGCCGAAGAGCGGGAGTGGTTCACCAACGCCAAGCAGGTCGAAGTGAACAACTACATTGTGTCCTCTGTCCTGGAGGCCTTGCCCCCCGACGTCGCCCCGCCGCCGAGCCAGGTGATGCGCGCGGGGTGAGTCCTGGAATGCAACGGGAAGGATGGCAGCGCCAAGCCGAAAGCGAGGCCGGTGGTGTTGAACTACATGGATTCGCAGCACGACCATAGGCCGACTACAGCTCCGACGATGACAAAGACATCTCGCCACCTAGTCCTACAAATCGCAGCGCGGCTGGGCATGGGCGCGCGCGAGGCGGACGTGACCGGAGCTTTCGCGCAGAATTGGCCGACAAGTCTGGGCAACCTTCGGGCGATCCAGGCCCCTGAGCTTGCTGGGGCGATGAGCGTCCTTGAGGGTCCCGCTGCGAAGCTCAAGGAGGCTGTGCATGGCTTGGTGGAGGCGGCCATCGGGTGGTATCTGACCGTCGCTGAGGTGATGGCCGAGCAGGGTGGGCTCGCATGTAGATGGGCCCGTGCGCGTGGGTCGTGCGCGGCAAGGATTGCGGCAATAACAAATAATATGCCCAGTCGAGTCTCGAGATGCACTTCGCGGACAGCCCGGCGAAGGCGGAGATCGTGGACCAGACAGGTGTGAAGAGCGCCCAGGAGATGGACAATGGCTTCAAGATGGACCGGGAGGAGCATGTCAAGGGGATCGAGAAGATCTACGTGGGCCCGCAGAGGAAGAAGCAGGAAGAGTCGGAGACCACGGACGCCGAGAAGACCCAGATGCGGTCGGTGCTGGGAAAGATCGGCTGGCGCTCTGAACAGACGGGGCCCGTGCGCAGTGCAGACGTGAGCTGGCAGCTCAGCAATGCGCCCCGCTCGACCGTGACGTCGCTGGAGGACGTCGACAAACTCGTGGATCGAGTTAGGGGGCAGGCGGACAAGGGTGTCAGGATCCACGGCCGCAAGGGTTCCGACGTCCTCGTGCCTATTGTGTGGGCCGACTCGTCTGCGGGTAATCGGCCTGGCGGGTGTGGCGCCGAGGGGCTAGTGATGGCCATGGCCCCCTCGGAGATCTTGGGGGCGGTGGCGAGTGTGATGTGGCTGTGGTCAGCTATATGGGTGGAGAAGGAGTGTGGCATAACGGGGTATGGTGCCAATTGCGGAAGTGGCGATGCTGTCTGCGATGAACAATATCGCCAGAGTCCCCTTTCCATGACGTTGATCGCGCCCCTTTATGCCATGCCCCTTTCCCACCTCCACAACAATTGGGAGTCGGGGAGGGTCGACGGGATGTGCAGGTCCAGTGCGGCGGCAGAGACGCGGGCAACTGGGCGGCGAGGACGAGCTTTACGGCTTGAAGCTCCAGTGGCTGGAGATGCTCGACATAGAGATAGATTGGCGGTCATCGCGGAGTGCCTTCTGCGGCTTCCCGGCGGCCTGCGCGACTGACTCGAAGGGGCTGTTTGGCAAGCAGAGGACGGTGGTGTTCACTCCCACAGGCAAGGAGAAGAGTCTGGACATCGAGGCGATGACCGTGAAGGGCGAGAGTGCCCGGGGCGGCGACCCCGATAGCTGTGGGTGCGCGGGGGCGCCCAGCTCGCGAATGGCCCGGCGAAGGGGCGCGAGCCGCGCCCGCTACGACTGCTTTGCAGCTGTGGCGCCCGATGGGAGCTCGTGCATGATGGGAAGCTTCGCGTCGCGAGGCGCCGCGAAACGGAAGGGGCCAAGCCATCAGGCGCGGGCAAGGTTACGCAGGGTGGCAAGTTCTACGACGCGGATGGACAGCAGAGTCAGCCATGCCAGGATTTTACAGGGGACGAGGCGGACCCCGAGACAGAAGACGATAACAACAATGAGGGGATGCACGACTTTCATAATTTTCCCCCGTGCGGTTGGTGACCTGAGGCTGACATAGCAAATTTGTGCATCCGCGACCGTTCTGGCTCGAAGGGAATGGCCTCCCTCAGCCGCGCCGGCGCGCGGTTTTGAGGAACCGCGCAAGGCGGCCGATGTGGAAAGAGAATTGATAAAAAATGATTGGGTTAGAGTTTTAGACCTCGTGGGGGGCAGACGATCAGAAGTTTAGCCCAATGCGTACGCTTCTGCCGAGGACCACCGCGAGTACACCTACTCTTTGGGTCCCCCAAAGGAGCCTTTCGGACCCGATGATGGCGCCTTTCCTTCCCTTCCCAGACGTCTCCAAGTTTTTCGATGCGTGTGCGACCACTTCCCTAGGACGGGTTTTTCGTCCTGACGGTCCCGAGGCCCGGCGAGGGACCCTGGAGGCCGAAAGCGGCCAAACATTTGCCGCCTCAAATCTTTGGGAGCGTCGGATCTCTGGGTTCCCCCCCGTGGCTCGCCCCTGCCTTTCCTTCGCGCCCGAGGCCAGAACGCCCACGCACGCAGGCACGCCGCCGCCGCATCGCACGCGGAGATCGGCCGGCCGGCCGCGCCTGAGGTCGCACCGGCCGTGGCCGGGGGCCGCCCTGCCGCGCGCGCGGCCGCTGAGAGGCGGAGGCCGAAGGCCCCCTGCAGCTCTGCGGCCTGGAGGACTTCCTGGCCCAGATCGGGGGAGAGCACGCGCGGCGCAGGCAGAGAAACTTTCGTGGGAGGTGGTCGTTATTTTGTTCGCTGTTTTGCCGATCGGCGCGGGCGGGCCCTCCTCCTCCTCCTGCTCCTCCTCCTCCTCCTCCTCGTCCTGCTCATCTCCATCCTCCGCCTCCTCCTCCTCCGCCTCCGCCTCCGCCTCCTCCTCCTCCTCCTCCTCCTCCTCCTCCTCCTCCTCCTCCCGGGAACGGACTACCTGCTAAGAGGCCCCCCCATGGAGTGGATCTTGGCTGTTTTTGGCGCCTCATTCAAGCAGGTGGATTCTCCTAGGACGCACTGTTGCAAGCGGTGGCATTAAGCAGAGATCCCTCATCCGCCCAATGTCGAAACGCCGAAGTATGAAAACGTTCACATGCTGCTGGTCCAGCGCGGATCTAAGAAATCCGCGCAGAGTTTCGGAAGTTTCTGTTTGTGCAGCTTTCTCTTCCTCTACCAGCCCTGCGGACCCCGCGCCGACGCCCACCTGCTCCTCGCCTCCGAGGCGGCCAGCGACCTCCTCGCTGGCGGCGGCGGGGCGGAGGCGTTGCTGTTGGCGGTTCGGCACGCGCTGCCCGCGTGTCTGGGGCCAGACGTGCGCATCTCGGAGGCTGCCAGAGGTGATCCTGTCCCTGGACACCCCCTTCCGCGCTCTTCCGCCTCCTCGCTTCTCCTTCTTCTCTTCCTTCTCCCCGCTCCTCGCTCCTCCTCCTCCTCCTCGCTCCTCCTCCTCCTTCGGAGGTCCGCGCGGATTTCTCCGATCGGCGCTGGACCCCCCGTGGCGGCACCTCCGGCGCCGCCCCTGGCGC